TTACTGTTAAGAAGAATATACATTTATTTTTTCTGTATTTTTTATTTTTTCTAAAAGGGTTTATTTATGTTTTAACATCGTAAATAGTTTTAAGTATCTTAGTATGGTTTCAAGAGTTTTTTATATAGATTTTTATATTTTATTTTGTATATAGTATGTATAACCAATATTTTTTTTCTTTTCTTTTCTTTAATGACCTATCATTATCTTAATTTGTTATGTTTGTTTTTATCTGGCCAGATGTAAAATTTTAATTTCTGTACTTTTTTGTTATTCTGAAGGGACTTCGTCCCAGAATAAAATTATTTTTCTATTCTATTCTATTCTATTCTATATAAAATGGCAAAAGGGAAAATTAAACCAAGCAGGGTGATGGTTGCGGTAGGGGAGAATATTGAAGAATATACATGGACAGAAGCGGCAAATAGATTACTGAATGGACTAATACTGGATGATGATGAGGACAATGAAGAACAGGCTGTCCTGAGAAGGGAAGTGGAGAATGAAAATACGGAACCACAATATGGAAGAGTTGTAGTAAATGAGACCAAGATTTATGATGAAATAACTAAATGTAAAAATGGAAAAGCCCCGGGAAAAGATGGAATAATGATTGAAATGATCAAGGAAGGATGGGAAGTTTTAAAAGTGTCAATTCGAAGATTATTTCAGGGATGTTTGGATAAAGGGACTTTTCCAAATAGATGGAAAATTGGGAGAATAAAGGCACTGTTAAAAGGAGATGATAAAGATGAGAGAGAAATCAAGTCATATAGACCAATATGGCTATTACCTGTGATGGGAAAGTTGCTGGAAAGAGTGGTAGTTACAGAGATGAAGGAGGTTTTTGTTGATAGTATAAATTTAAGTCAGTTTGGCTTTATGCCAAAGAGGGGAACAGAAGATGCAATGGTGAAAATTAAGGAGCTAGTTGAAAGTAGGAGGGAGAAATATGTTCTGGGAGTGTTTATTGATATGGCTGCTGCATTTGACAGGGTATGGTGGCCAAGCATTTTAGGCATATTGAGAAGGAAGGGAGTTAAAAGATCACTCTACAGGGTGATTAAAGATTACTTGAAGGACAGGAGAGTTGAAATAACTGAAGGTGGAAGAACGGTAAAGAAAGTTGTGAACAGAGGATGTCCTCAAGGATCCGTATTGGGCCCACAAATGTGGAAAATTTTGATAGACGAGTTGATAAATATACTACAGGAGAAATGGGAGATAGTGGTGTACGCAATTGTGTGTATTAGAAAGACCCGATGGAGATTATAATTGGGGACGGTTATCGGCAAGACCTAGGTCTTGTCGTCCCACTACCGCATCTTGTTGTCCTGAGGGCATCCTCCCTTAGGCGGGTGAGGTTAGTAAAGCCGTAGGGGCTGTGTAAGTGCTTCACACTTCCAACCGCGGGCAAGCGACCATTCTTGCCTTTAAGGTATTTATACCGAAATGGTACCACGGGGCTGGCTCTGCCAGAGCCACCATGAGGTGGTGGCCAGGAGTGCTTGCACTGCCTGATCATGGACGTGGTGGTCGTGGTTGGATCCTTCAACGAAGGGGAGCTAGATGGAAGGTTATGTCCCAGCCAATCGACAGGTGACAAAGCAGATAAATGGTCTAAAACCACTGTGTTAAAACCACTGGTAAGTTTGTCTTTCATTCTGTCCCTACCTACTGGCTCTCATAAGGGCTCACAGGAACCAACTCCACCAAGTGGAGGGCCCCGCCATATGCCTACTTACCTGCTCAGTGCGGAGGGGGGCAACCAAAGGAAGAGGCTTCTATGTCGGATACGGGTTGCCAGCCCGTATCCGACTAAAACCACGGGCACGGATGGAAAGAGATACAACTTAAGGGGCGTCCCACAACAGGACGTCCCTCCTGTGAAACAGGCTCCAGGGGGACCAGTGGCCGGGACGTCGTCCCAGGCAGATGATGGTTTCGTGTGCCAAATGTGTGGACGTACCTTTGCCTCCAAAAAGGGGCTGGGAGTCCATCTCAGGGCGGCGCATAAAGAGGCGGCAAATGAACAGGTAAACCTTCCGGCCGTCAAAGTCCGATGGAGTGATGAAGAATCGAGGTTAATGGCACGAAGGGAAGCAGAGGCGTTGCTTCAGGACAATCGCCACATTAATATGCACTTGCTCCCATTGTTCCCCGACCGAACGCTGGAGTCAGTAAAAGGCGTGAGGCGCCGTGCTGACTATAAGGCCTGGGTGGTGCAGGCCCTGGCAGAACTCAGAGCGCGGCCCCCTATACCGGAACCTTCCGGGCAGGGGATGAATGCACCAGATGCATTCACGGCTGATGACCTCCCCAATCCGGCATGGGTATCTGATCTGCATGAAGCAGTGAAGGACCTGATGCAGCAGACAATAATGCCTGGAGAAGGCTTCTGCGCGGAAGAGCTACGCTCTCTCGCCGGAAGAGCGTTGGAAGGGCATGATGTCTGTGTGGAATTGGGGAATTGGTTAGGAAATTGTTTTCCTAAAACCATAGAGGCCGGGCTCAAGAAGCCACAAGGATTGCACACTAAAGAACCGCGCCATCTTTCTAAGCGTATGCAAAGGAAGAGAGAATATGCCAGGGTTCAAGCAATGTGGAAGCGTGACCGCACTAGGGCCGCACGTGAAGTGCTTGATGGAGGGCAGAAAAATAGAGGGACCCAAACCCTTGAGGAATTCGAGGAGTTTTGGGCACCTCTAATGGAAAATGAAGGTATCACGGGGGAGTCTCAACCTCTTCGGAGGATGAGTGAACCCATTGATAATGACCTCATTATGAGCCCCATCAGCACAGACGATGTGAGCGCCTGGAAAGTGTCGGCACGGTCCGCAGCGGGACCCGATGGTATATCGGCCCGCAGCTGGAATGCAGTCCCCCATACGATCAAGGCCCTGATGTTTAACATCCTATTGATCCAAGGCAAGATACCTGATAAGCTGAACGAGTCTCGCACGGTATTTGTTCCCAAAGTCGACTGTCCGAAGGGTCCGAGCGACTACAGACCGATCTCGGTTGCGTCTGTGGTCATACGGCACCTTCACAAAATACTGGCCGCCAGGTTAGGGAGGATCCGTATGCTTGACATACGCCAACGAGCCTTTGTCCCGGTCGATGGAGTTGCTGAAAACATCGTTTTGTTGGACGCGCTCCTCGCTGAGGCTAGGTCATCGCTGAGGGAGATCCACCTGGTAACGCTTGATATTGCGAAGGCCTTCGACAGCTTGGACCACGGGGCAATCCTGCGGATTCTGAAGGCGAGGGGCCTTCCTGGATCATTCATCAGATATATTTCCAGCGTTTACAAGTCTTCGGGGACAATATTTCAAGTCGGAGGCAGAACCGGAAGGAAGGTCAGCGTTAACAGAGGTGTACGCCAGGGAGATCCAATATCGCCATTGTTATTTAACTTGGCGATGGATGAAATCCTGGCATCAATACCCAGCGACGTGGGATTCCGAATTGGTGACTCCACCACCTCATGCCTTGCATTTGCTGACGACCTTGTGGTCGTAGCCTCGTCGCGAGTGGGCATGAGGCTCGCGCTGGATCAAGTGGTTAGCGCTGCCTCCGGACTGGGACTGTCCATCAACCCGACAAAGTGCCATGCTCTCTCTATCATTCCTGACGGGCACGCTAAGAAGTACAAGGTTATCACAGATCAGTTATTTGAACTGGGTGGTACACCTCTTATGCAATCCAGTGTGGTCGCTAAGTGGAGGTACCTAGGAGTTGAAATAAATTTCGGGGGAACCATGCCGGTGGAGAAGGATTTGACGGGGTTGCTGAGGAATGTTACCAAAGCACCTCTGAAACCTCAACAACGACTGGAAATCCTCCGCACATACTTGATACCCAGACTGATCCATGGCCTTGTGCTTGGCAGCGTAACTGATGGTAGACTCCTCCAGCTTGACCGTCAGGTGAGAAGGAGTGTACGTGGGTGGCTTCGGCTACCCAGGGATGTAGCGATCGGGTATATCCACGCTCAAGTTAAAAGTGGAGGGCTCGGTATTCCTAGTCTTCGGACGATGGTGCCGGAGCTCCTTGTAAAACGAATTAAGCGTATGGAGGAAGCTGACAGCCCGGTGGTGAGGGCTGCCTGGCAATCTCGCCGAATTCAGAAGAGATATAACTGGGGTGTGAAGATGCTATCCCGGTTGGGTATCCCGACCGACGGCCCTAGGGCCGGACGGAAGGGATACTGGGATTCTCGGCTCCACACCTCAGTAGATGGATTTGAATTGAAGGAATCGGCGAGAACCAGGGCTAGTACTAGGTGGATCTCCAACGCTACTAGTGGTATACCTGGTCGGGACTACATCCAATACATTCACGTGCACTCTAACTCCTTGCCCACCAGGGTAAGAACAAGTAGGGGAGAGCGGAGGAGGGACGGCAGAGACGTGGGATGCCGTGCAGGATGTCCGGAACAGGAGACGGCTGCACATGTGATACAGCGTTGCCATCGCACACACGGAGGGCGTGTATTGCGACACAACGCTGTCTGCAACGTCATTGCGACGGATCTGGCCAAGAGGGGTTGGCAGGTCGAGCAGGAGCCGCATGTGCAGACAGAGGTGGGTCTCCGGAAGCCGGATATCGTAGCAATAAAAGATGCTGCCGCCTTGATAGTGGACACCCAGATTGTCAGCGGAGGAAGACCATTAAATCTTGCTCACGAACGAAAAAGAAAGTATTACGCTGACAACCCGGACCTGATAGACGTAATTGCTAGCAGGTTCAGGGTACCCCGAGACGAAGTGGCTGTTACGACGGCCACTCTCTCATGGAAAGGTGTTTGGTCGCCGAGGAGTTATGCGGAACTGATCTCCTATGGGATTCCTCCGGGGGTCCTGGAGGGGGTAGTGACGCGTACTCTGCGCGGGTCTCACACAAGTTGGACGCGTTTCAATAAGATGACCACGATGAGGGTCTGATGATGGAAGAATTGTGACTCTATCCCCTGCCCTAAATTGGGGACCGGCGCGGAGACATGTCGGCCTGGGCGGAGGCATGTGGCCGACGTCCGGCCCCCGTATAAATTGACGTCGGTGAAGCAAAAGTCCTACATGGTGAAAAGTCCGACGTCAGCGGGCCGCAATAACGGGTATATGACCATCATACCAAGAAGAAGCGGCCCGCGGTAGGTGGGTAGAGTTCACTCAACAAGCGCCCAGACCTCTCGTGCTCTCCTGGATCGGTGTCCTGGTCATTGGTACCCCCGCTTTTAGCCAGGCCGAAGCAGCGGCGTAGGAGGTTAGCATCCTGGGTTGACAGGCGACTCAGGTTGCTGACACTGCAAATGATAAAAAAAAAAAAAAAAAAAAAAGGGCTCACAGGAACCAACTCCACCAAGTGGAGGGGGAGACCCTGTGATACCCAAGTGCCTACCATTACGTCCCCGTCGGGAGAGCCGGGAAACGCACATAGTGCGGCTAACAATGGAGGCTATATCTGGGCACCCAAGATCAGTAGAGGGTGCCCAAATGAAGACTATGGACTGTTAATGATCATGACCTGGCGTGGATTGGATACACGAATGTACTGTGTACTGCAGCAATATGCACAGAACGACTGGTATTGAAAAAATGAGCTTGCGATACGGCATGGATGGGGATGGAAGGCTGCGGCTTCTATTCTACATGTGTCCGTGGAGCACCCCGCCTGGCAAGCACACGTATTGGTGCCTATGTGTCGGAGACATAGGAGGTTCGAGGCGAAAGTAGTAGAACTCAGGAACGCTATAAAAGCGGGTTGAACATTTCCCCGTGAAGAGAGCGTATATACCGGTTCTTGGACGGAACTCCGAGACTCTCACAGTTGGTAGCTGTGGGATGGGGGTATACCCCGGCGGTTAGCCATGCGTGCAGTGGGATTAAACCAAATGCATAATTCAACAATAACAAAAACCAAAAATACAGAAGTAGAGGAGACAAGGAAGGGAGGCAAGAGTGGTGAGAAGGCGGGCTCTAAAAAAGCCGAAGTAGATGTAGTGAAGACCTCAACCACTGAGGAAATCAGAAACGATTTACTCAGTTGGTTCGCAGAGGTGAAGGTAGTGGAGAGTGAGGTATATAAATTCACCTCACGGGAAAAGAAGAACGTGTCGGAGAAGGCTGGTCTCCAGATACAGAATTACTTCGCAAGGATCTGTGAAGTAACAACTAGTGTGCTAAATAAGGTTCTAGAAAACCTAGAACCAAAACAAGAGAGCGACCAGCAGAATGTAGCAGAAAGGCTACAGGAGACGCAGGAGTCGTTCAAAGCCTACCAGACTAAGATGGACCAGGCGATGAATGGCATCCTTGCAAAGATTGATGCATTAACGGAGCAGAGGGTAGCTCCAAGAGCGGAGTACGCGCAGGTCCTCAAGGAGCCTGCCCATACAGTACAGAGAACCAGAAATGTTGCCCTAATAACGGTGGCGGATCCCAAAGCAGAGAGCACTGAGATCAAAAAGCGATTAGCCAACTCCGTGAACATCAAGGAGGAGAAATGGCAGATCGTGAATATTCGCAAGACGAGGAGCAACAAAAAAGTGCTCATTGAAACAACTGACAAGGCTAATCTTGAAAAGATAGTCCAGTCAGAGACCCTTAAAAAGAAAGGGTTCAAAGTTGAAGTCCCCCGGCTAAGGAAGCCCAGGATGATCATCTATGACATCGGGCACGAGGGGAAGACCACAACCAAAGGTCGAGAGGCATTAAGCGAGGATGCCAAACGAAGAGAGGCAAACTTCAATGAGGAAGTTTATGGGTGCATAAGGGCCCAAAACCTTGATCATCTGAGTGAGGGTGATCTAAAAGCAAGAATGAAGCTTTTATTCAAGTTGGGAGGAGCCCTAAAGGATAGAGAGCACTGGGTCGTAGAAGTCGACCCAGAGCTAAGGCTAGACCTAATAAAGAGAGGGAGGCTCTTTATCGACCTAAAAAGCTGCAAGGTCAAGGAGTACATAGGCCTAGTACGTTGTTACAAATGCCTAGCATTTGGACATACTACAACGAGAGGAAAACTAAGTATATGAGAGTTGGCGGTGAGGTTGATCTGAACTCTCCATTTGAGGTAGGTTCTTTTAAGTTTGAGAGAGTGAAAAGTTTTATATACCTTGGGTCTGAAATCAATAGCAAGAATGACATGGCTCAAGAAATACAAAGAAGGATCACGGCTGCCAATAGATGTGTCTTTGGACTTGGCCGACACTTAAGAAGTAGGTACCTCTCAAAGAAAACCAAGCTGATCATATACAAGACCCTTGTTCGGCCTGTTTTGACATATGGCTCAGAGGCTTGGACGATGACCAAAAGGGATGAGATGAAGCTGAGTGTCTTTGAGCGAGGAGTCCTCAGAAGGATTTATGGTCCAGTAAAGGAGGGTGATGTCTGGAGGAAAAGAAAAAATAGGGAGCTCAGTTCTCTCTATGCAGACATCGACGTAGTCACGTATATTAAACTGGCCAGACTAAGGTGGGCAGGGCATGTGGCCAGAATGAGCACCCTTGAAATACCAAAAAAAATAATGATGGAGGAGCTGCACCTCGTAAGACGGGTAGGAAGGCCGAGGACGAGATGGTTGGACAACGTGGCCTATGATGCGAGAACCCTGCTTGGTGTGCGGAACTGGAGAGCTGCAGCAGAAGACAGAGCCAACTGGCGGAGGCTCTTGGAGGAGGCCCAGTCTCGGTGACGGGATGTTGTGCCATACATGAATGAATGAATGAATGTCTAAGTGCACCAAGACCGCCAACACATGCAGCCACTGCAGCGAGGAGGGTCATGAGGCGAAGGCATGCAAGGCAAAGGAACAGAAGAAGCCTCCTAGATGCGCGAACTGTAGGTTGTACAGGAAGGATGACAACCATCACACCTACGACAGGGAATGTCCGGTGGCGAAAGCCAACGAGAGGATGTTGGTAAACAACACCGATTATGGTGATAAATAAGGCCATTACACAAGGGATCAAGATATGGCAGGTTAACTGTGATAGGTCGAGAACAGTCACCGATGAGATCATGAGAGAAGCTGCTGGAAATAGAGTGGACTTTATCCTACTACAAGAGCCATACTCTAGGAATTCCAGAATCCATGGTTTCGGCAGATGGACCATTATCCAGGTCAACAGCGAAGGCCAGGAACCATGGGCCGCAATAGTAAGTTGTTCGAAGGAGTACACGATGCTAAAGCACGCTCAACTGTCAGACCAGTACACTGTAGTTGTCGAAGTCAGCAAAGGCAACATGAGAATATACATGGTAACCATGTATATGAGGTTTAACTTGCCGATCAACAGATTCGTAGACCGAATGCAGCATATATGTGACTCACTGCGTGGAGAACGTATACTGTTTGCTACAGACGCAAACGCTAAGTCCCCCAACTGGAGCACAATTCCACAGGCAGACGAGAGAGGGATGGAGGTCGAGAGCGTGATTGACAGGAACAACCTCAGTGTGCTGAATGACAGAGCAGCTGCAACATTCTGTACAGCTAAGACAGCCACCACTATTGACGTAACATTAGTGAGCAACCAGCTGAAAGGCCAGGTTAAAGGATGGACAACCCGGAAAGACGTATGCTCCAGTCAGCACGTCTTAATTGAAGTTGAATTAAGGAGCGAAACGACACAAGGAGTAATGAGAGAAACTCCGAGATTCAACATAAAGAAAGCGGACTGGGACACGTACAGGAACACCCTACAGAGGGAAGTAAGCAGACTTCCAGGGGGAAGTCAGAAACCCCACAGAGTTGGTTAAAAAAGTACAGTCTCTTCAAAACGCAATATTGAAGGCTGCCTCAGAGGCAATGCCCATAAGCAACTACACACGCACCAAGAAGGTTCCCTGGTGGAACGACGAGTTAACCAAACTCAAGAGGGACATGTATAAACTGAGAAGAACTGTGTAAAAGACCAACGATGCAGGGGCTAAAGTGCTCCTGAAACGTCAATACGAGGTGAAGAGAAGGCTCTACACGAACCACATAAAACAACGTAAAAAAGAGCAGTGGCGTAAATTCGTCACTGACCTGAACGAACAAGGCCCATGGAATCTAGCTTATAAGATCTCATTCGATAAGATACCGGTGGCTGAGGTTCTCTCGTCAATTAAACAGGGTGATGGTTACACACAAACCTGAGAGGAATCCACGGTAAGCATCATGGAAAGCCTCGTACCAGAAGACCTTCCAGACAACCAGATACAGGCCGAAATACGAGAGAAGGTGAGGAGGTTTGTCCCAACTGAAGGGAATGAGGCAAGCTTCGAAGAAGGAGAGGTGGAAGCAGCAGTGAAGGCCTGCAAGAAAGGGAAGGCACCAGGGGTGGACGGCATAGCAGCCGAAATGGTTCAGGAGGGCTTTTGCGTATTAAAGCATGCCCTGAGGAGCATTTTTAACGCTTGCCTCCACCTCGGAGCATTCCCAGATATGTGGAAAGTGGGGAAACTAGTCTGTATCCTCAAGGCAAAGGACAAGGACCCCACTGATCCGAGATCGTACAGGCCGATATGTCTACTCCCAATAATGGGTAAGATCCTGGAGAGACTGATAGCCAATCGATTACCATACCTACTAGATGAAGGACTCTCAGAACGACAGTACGGATTCAGGAAAGGGAGATCGACAGTCGATGCAATTCGTGAAGTCATGAAAGCAGCTGAGGAGCAAGAAGAGCACTACTGCTTAGCAATATTTATAGACATCCAGGGAGCATTCGACCACCTGTGGTGGCCAATGCTGTACAAGGAACTGAGAAGGCGTAGATGCCCCTCCAACGTTTACCAGCTGCTCAGAAGTTATAGCACCAAAAGATACATCAGGATGTATAGCACAACCAGGTTTGTAGGGAAGGCAGTAACGAGAGGGTGTCCGCAGGGATCAGTACTGGGCCCCAAGATGTGGAACCTAATCATGGACACCAACCTACAAGCTATGGACATTGAAGGGTGTAGCACGATTGCATTTGCTGACGATCAAGTCCTAATTCTGCGAGGAAATTCAAGGAGAGAACTAGAGGTAATAGGTAACAGAGCTATGCAGAAAGTTCAGGAATGGGCAGAGTTAAACAAGTTGACAATATCGCAAACCAAGACCAAAATGATGATGTTGAAGAACAGCTTCGATGTTGAGAGACCACCGAGAATACAGCTCAAGGGGAACCAAATACAGATGGTCAAGGAGTTCAAATACCTTGGGGTGACGTTCACGGAGGGTCTCAGAATACAACGCCACATCGAGGACATCATAAAAAAAGCGAGGAACGTCTTCGAAAAGGCCCTGAGAATCGCGGGAAGTGGATGGGGCTTAGGCCCCGGAACCTGAGAACGCTCTACAAGGGGGTATTTGAGAGCATCGTAACGTATGCAGCCCCAGTCCTAGATGCCAAGCTAAGCAATCGGATGAGAGAGCTAATCAACAGAGTGCAGAGGCAAGCATTGTTGAGAGTAGTGAAGGCGTACAGAACGGTCTCAAGAGACGCATTACCGGTAATTGCAGGAGTTCTGCCGGCTGATCTACTCATCAAAAGAGCAGCACTCAATTACAATTTGAGGCACAGAATTCCGTTCCAGGTAGGAGAATTCGTCTACGACGAAGACTACTACGGAGCGGAAGACTATGACTCGAAGAATGAAGAGCTCAAAATCACCGGCTGCTTACTAGAAGACTGGCAGTACCAGTGGGAGACCTCAACAAAGGGGAGAGACACATTCAAGTTTTACCCCGATGTTACCAATAGATATTGGGCGAAAGAGGCAAGCCCAGGACACATCGTGACACAGTTCTTGACTGGCCATGGTAACTTCAAAGACAAGCTGGCCTACTTTAAGTTATCAGAGGACAACCTGTGTCCCTGCGGGGAACCAGAGGACGTGTGGCACATTGTCTACCACTGCGACTACTACAGCAGCTCGAGAAGCAAATTTAGAAGAGACTTAGGTATGGTAAAACTTCCGGCCCCGGAAGCTTTGGTTGATCCAAGACTATTCCATAGGTTCTCTAACTTTGTTATCGAGCTCTATTACCAGAGGATCGCAATGTATGCAAGGTAGAGGAAGTACCAGCGAAGAAGCAGCAGAGAGACATAAGTGAGTACTAATTGTAGATCAATAAATGCATGTATTTACTAGAAAGTAGGTATGGACAGGAGTCCCACGAAACTTTCTAGACCCAAGAAAAACCTACGCCGTAGGGCATGATGTGATTTCAAAAGTAGCAGAAAGATGTAAAGAAGCGGAATCATTAAGCCCGTATTATAAAAAGCAAGAGGAATTTAAAGAAAGCAGGTAATCTAAATTAAAGTCGCGAACCCCCCCGCAAGTGCGACCGGAGGTATGGGAGAAATCCCGAGGAACTCCGGGGGAAGGTGGTGGGCGCAATTCTGCAGAAGCTATAAAGCATCTGTCCCTACCTACTGGCTCTCATAAGGGCTCACAGGAACCAACTCCACCAAGTGGAGGGGGAGACCCTGTGATACCCAAGTGCCTACCATTACGTCCCCGTCGGGAGAGCCGGGAAACGCACATAGTGCGGCTAACAATGGAGGCTATATCTGGGCACCCAAGATCAGTAGAGGGTGCCCAAATGAAGACTTTGGACTGTCAATTGTCATGACCAGGCGTGGATTGGATACACGAATGTACTGTGTACTGCAGCAATATACACAGAACGACTAGTATTGGAAAAATGAGCTTGCGATACGGCATGGATGGGGATGGAAGGCTGTGGCTTCTATCCTACATGTGTCCGTGGAGCACCCCGCCTGGCAAGCACACGTATTGGTGCCTATGTGTCGGAGACATAGGAGGTTCGAGGCGAAAGTAGTAGAACCCAGGAACGCTATAAAAGCGGGTTGAACATTTCCCCGTGAAGAGAGCGTATATACCGGTTCTTGGACGGAACTCCGAGACTCTCACAGTTGGTAGCTGTGGGATGGGGGTATACCCCGGCGGTTAGCCATGCGTGCAGTGGGATTAAACCAAATGCAAAATTCAATCACCAACAACACAAAAGAAGTAGAGGAGACGAGGAAGGGAGGCAAGAGAGGCGAGAAGGCAGGCTCTAATAAAGCCGAAGTAGAGGTAGTGAAGACCTCAACCACTGAGGAAATCAGAAACGATTTACTCAGTTGGTTCGCAGAGGTGAAGGTAGTGGAGAGTGAGGTATATAAATTCACCTCACGGGAAAAGAAGAACGTGTCGGAGAAGGCTGGTCTCCAGATACAGAATTACTTCACAAGGATTTGTGAAGTAACAACTAGTGTGCTAAATAAGGTTCTAGAAAACCTAGAACCAAAACAAGAGAGCGACCAGCAGAATGTAGCAGAAAGGCTACAGGAGACGCAGGAGTCGTTCAAAGCCTACCAGACTAAGATGGACCAGGCGATGAATGGCATCCTTGCAAAGATTGATGCTTTAACCGAGCAGAGGGTAGCTCCAAGAGCGGAGTACGCGCAGGTCCTCAAGGATCCTGCCCATACAGCACAGAGAACCAGAAATGTTGCCCTAATAACGGTTGCGGATCCCAAAGCAGAGAGCACTGAGATTAAAAAGCGATTAGCCAACTCCGTGAACATCAAGGAGGAGAAATGGCAGATCGTTAATATCCGCAAGACGAGGAGCAACAAAAAAGTGCTGATCGAAACCACTGATAGAGCTAATCTGGAAAAGATAGTCAAGTCAGAGACCCTTAAAAAGAAAGGGTTCAAAGTTGAAGTCCCCCGGCTAAGGAAGCCCAGGATGATCATATATGACATCGGGCACGAGGGGAAGACCACTACCAAAGGTCGAGAGGCATTAAGCGAGGATGCCAAGAGAAGGGAGGCAAGCTTCAACGAAGAAGTTTACGAGTGCATAAGGGCCCAAAACCTCGATCATCTAAGCGCGGATGATCTCAAGGCCAGAATGAAGCTGGTATTCAAGCTGGGAGGTGCCCTAAAGGACAGAGAGCACTGGGTCGTAGAAGTCGACCCAGAGCTAAGACAAGATCTAATAAAGAGAGGGAGGCTCTTTATCGAGCTAAGAAGCTGCAAGGTCAAGGAGTACATAGGCCTAGTACGTTGTTACAAATGCCTAGCATTTGGACATACTATGTCGAGGTGCACCAAGGCCGCCAACACATGCAGCCACTGCAGCGAGGAGGGTCATGAGGCGAAGGCATGCAAGGCAAAGGAACAGAAGAAGCCTCCTAGATGCGCGAACTGTAGGTTGTACAGGAAGGATGACAACCATCACACCTACGACAGGGAATGTCCGGTGGCGAAAGCCAACGAGAGAATGTTGGTAAACAACACCGATTATGGTGATAAATAAGGCCATTACACAAGGGATCAAGATATGGCAGGTTAACTGTGATAGGTCGAGAACAGTCACCGATGAGATCATGAGAGAAGCTGCTGGAAATAGAGTGGACTTTATGCTACTACAAGAGCCATACTCTAGGAATTCCAGAATCCATGGTTTCGGCAGATGGACCATTATCCAGGCCAACAGCGAAGGCCAGGAACCATGGGCCGCAATAGTAAGTTGTTCGAAGGAGTACACGATGCTAAAGCACGCTCAACTGTCAGACCAGTACACTGTAGTTGTCGAAGTCAGCAAAGGCAACATGAGAATATACATGGTAACCATGTATATGAGGTTTAACTTGCCGATCAACAGCTTCGTAGACCGAATGCAGCATATATGTGACTCACTGCGTGGAGAACGTATACTGTTTGCTACAGACGCAAACGCCAAGTCCCCCTACTGGAGTACAATTCCACAGGCAGACGAGAGAGGGATGGAGGTCGAGAGCGTGATTGACAGGAACAACCTCAGTGTGCTGAATGATAGAGCAGCTGCAACATTCTGTACAGCTAAGACAGCCACCTCTATTGACGTAACATTAGTGAGCAACCAGCTGAAAGGCCAGGTTAAAGGATGGACAACCCGGAAAGACGTATGCTCCAGTCAGCACGTCTTAATTGAAGTTGAATTAAGGAGCGAAACGACACAAGGAGTAATGAGAGAAACTCCGAGATTCAACATCAAGAAAGCGGACTGGGACACGTACAGGAACACCCTACAGAGGGAAGTAAGCAGACTTCCAGGGGAAGTCAGAAACCCCACAGAGTTGGTTAAAAAAGTACAGTCTCTTCAAAACGCAATATTGAAGGCTGCCTCAGAGGCAATGCCCATAAGCAAGTACACACGCACCAAGAAGGTTCCCTGGTGGAACGACGAGTTAACCAAACTCAAGAGGGACGTGTATAAACTGAGAAGAACTGTGCAAAAGACCAACGATGCAGGGGCTAAAGTGCTCCTGAAACGTCAATACGAGGTGAAGAGAAGGCTCTACACGAACCACATTAAACAATGTAAAAAAGAGCAGTGGCGTAAATTCGTCACTGACCTGAACGAACAAGGCCCATGGAATCTAGCTTATAAGATCTCATTCGATAAGATACCGGTGGCTGAGGTTCTCTCGTCAATTAAACAGGGTGATGGTTACACACAAACCTGGGAGGAATCCGCGGTAAGCATCATGGAAAGCCTCGTACCAGAAGACCCTCCAGACAACCAGATACAGGCCGAAATACGAGAGGAGGTGAGGAGGTTTGTCCCAACTGAAGGGAATGAGGCAAGCTTCGAAGAAGGAGAGGTGGAAGCAGCAGTGAAGGCCTGCAAGAAAGGGAAGGCACCAGGGGTGGACGGCATAGCAGCCGAAATGGTTCAGGAGGGCTTTTGCGTATTAAAGCATGCCCTGAGGAGCATTTTTAACGCTTGCCTCCACCTCGGAGCATTCCCAGATATGTGGAAAGTGGGGAAACTAGTCTGTATCCTCAAGGCAAAGGGCAAGGACCCCACTGATCCGAGATCGTACAGGCCGATATGTCTACTCCCAATAATGGGTAAGATCCTGGAGAGACTGATAGCCAATCGATTACCATACCTACTAGATGAAGGACTCTCAGAACGACAGTATGGATTCAGGAAAGGGAGATCGACAGTCGATGCAATTCGTGAAGTCATGAAAGCAGCTGAAGAGCAAGAAGAGCACTACTGCCTAGCAATATTTATAGACATTCAGGAAGCATTCGACCACCTGTGGTGGCCAATGCTGTACAAGGAACTGAGAAGGCGTAGATGCCCCTCCAACGTTTACCAGCTGCTCAGAAGTTATAGCACCAAAAGATACATCAGGATGTATAGCACAACCAGGTTTGTAGGGAAGGCAGTAACGAGAGGGTGTCCACAGGGATCAGTACTGGGCCCCAAGATGTGGAACCTAATCATGGACACCAACCTACAAGCTATGGACATTGAAGGGTGTAGCACGATTGCATTTGCTGACGATCAAGTCCTAATTCTGCGAGGAAATTCAAGGAGAGAACTAGAGGTAATAGGTAACAGAGCTATGCAGAAAGTTCAGGAATGGGCAGAGTTAAACAAGTTGACAATATCGCAAACCAAGACCAAAATGATGATGTTGAAGAACAGCTTCGATGTAGAGAGACCACCGAGAATACAGCTCAAGGGGAACCAAATACAGATGGTCAAGGAGTTCAAATACCTTGGGGTGACGTTCACGGAGGGTCTCAGAATACAACGCCACATCGAGGACATCATCAAAAAAGCGAGGAACGTCTTCGAAAAGGCCCTGAGAATCGCGGGAAGTGGATGGGGGCTTAGGCCCCGGAACCTGAGAACGCTCTACAAGGGGGTATTCGAGAGCATCGTAACGTATGCAGCCCCAGTCCTAGATGCCAAGCTAAGCAATCGGATGAGAGAACTAATCAACAGAGTGCAGAGGCAAGCACTGTTGAGAGTAGTGAAGGCGTACAGAACGGTCTCAAGAGACGCATTACCGGTAATTGCAGGAGTTCTGCCGGCTGATCTACTCATCAAAAGAGCAGCACTCAATTACAGAATTCCGTTCCAGGTAGGAGAATTCGTCTACGACGAAGAATACTACGGAGCGGAAGACTATGACTCGAAGAATGAGGAGCTCAAAATCACCGGCTGCTTACTAGAAGACTGGCAGTACCAGTGGGAGACCTCAACAAAGGGGAGAGACACCTTCAAGTTTTACCCCGATGTCACCAATAGATATTGGGCGAAAGAGGCAAGGCCAGGACACATCGTGACACAGTTCTTGACTGGCCATGGTAACTTTAAAGACAAGCTGGCCTACTTTAAGTTATCAGAGGACAACCTGTGTCCCTGCGGGGAACCAGAGGACGTGTGGCACATCGTCTACCACTGCGACTACTATAGCAGCTCGAGAAACAAATTAAGAAGAGACTTAGGCATGGTAAATCTTCCGGCCCCGGAAGCTTTGGTTGATCCAAGACTATTCCATAGGTTCTCTAACTTTGTTATCGAGCTCTATTACCAGAGGATCGCAATGTATGCAAGATAGAGGAAGTACCAGAGAAGAAGCAGCAGTAAGATAAATGTGAGTACAAATTGAAGTTAGATAAATAAAGGCATGTATTTACTAGAAAGTCCACAAAACTTTCTAGACTCAAACAATAACCTACGCCGTAGGGCACGATATGAATACAAAAGTAGCAGAAATATGTAAAGAAGCGGAATCATTAAGCCCGTATTATAAAAAGCAAGAGGAATTTA